AGAGAGAGAGAGAGAGAGAGAGAGAGAGAGAGAGAGAGAGAGAGAGAGAGAGAGAGAGAGAGAGAGAGAGAGAAGCAGTTGTCACAGGACTTCTTTTGGACATGTTTTCCATGTAAAGACAGTTAGCTTTCACTTCAAGAGTTTATCCAACTTTTTGTTTGACACTGTTTAGTTCCACTTGACTGGGAAAAAATAGATRTATATGTTTTTTTGTTTTATTCATTTTATGTTTTTGTAATGACCTGTTGCCTGAGATCCTCTTCACCAGGGCCGTTTTAGTTTTCTGTCTGTGCTTCTGGGAGAGTTATTGTCTGTTTAAAAGTTAAATAAATACAATAAAAATTTGGATTTATTTATTTTTCTTTTTGTACAGTAGTGTACAGAACCATGATCCACATACCAAGTTACTTACTGGACTGTGACTTGACCTAACTGTTATACCCCCTTTGTTTTGTTTTTATTTTTCTGTTTAATTTCAAACTTAGAACTTGTGTGAAAAGTATGAATTCTTTGTACAAACACCTTAACATTCCTTGAATTACAGCTGTTTTGATTCTGGCTAAGGTCAAAAAGTAATGAATTGAAAATCCTGTTTACTTTGAGTTACATTAAAATCCATCCTCTGATTCATGTGAATAAATAAAAATGGACAAAAATATAATCAACTCTGGCATCATGCATCCATCCGTCCATTTTCTTCCTCTTATCCGGGGTCGRGTCACGGGGGCAGCAGCCTTAACAGAGAGACCCAGACTTCCCTCTCCCCAGCCACTTGGGCCAGCTTGTCTGGGGAAATCCCAAGGCTTTCCCAGGCCAACTGAGAAACATAGTCCCTCCAGCGTGTCCTGGGTCTTACCCTGGGTCTCCTCCCAGTGGGATGTGCCAAGAACACCTCACCAGGGAGGCRTCCAGGAGGCATCCTACCCAGATGCCCTAACCACCTCAACTGGCTCCTCTCGACGTGGAGGAGCAGAGGCTCTACTCTGAGTCCCACCTGGATGACAGAGCTTCTCACCCTATCTCTAAGGGAGAGCCCAGCCACCCTATGGAGGAAACTCATTTATTTAATTTCATATCCACAATCTCGTTCTTTCGGTCACTACCCAAAGCTCGTGACCATAGATGAAGGCTGGAATGTAGATGGACCAGTAAATTGAGAGCTTCGCCTTCTGGCTCAGCTCTCCCTTCACCACGACAGACCGGGACAGCGCCCGCATCACTGCAGACACAGCTCGACTTACAGACCTAACAGCCTGTATCAAAGGGCTTGGGACACGGTCGAACACCTTCTCCAAGTCCACAAAACACATGTAGACTGGTTGAGCGAACTCCCATGCACCCTCCAGGACTCTGCTGAGGGTGTAGAGCTGGTCCGCTGTTCCACGACCAGGAGGAAAACCACACTRCTCTTCCTGAATCTGAGATTCAACTGTCCAATGGACCCTCACAGGAACCCTGAATAGAYCTTACAGGGAGGTTCAGAAGTGTGATCCCCMTATAGTTGGAACACACTCTGCGGTCCCCMTTTTTAAATATGGGGACCACTACCCCAGTCTACCAATCAATGGGAACTGCCCCCGATGTCCATGCAATATTTTGGAGTCGCGTCAACCAACGCAACACCACAACATCCAGAGCCTTAAGGAACTCCGGGTGAATAACATCCACCCCCCGGTGCCTTGCCACCAGGAGCTTTTTAACCCCTTCACTGATCTCATCACCAGAGATTAGGGAATCCGACCCAGAGTCCCCAGGCTCTGCTTCCTCATTGGCATTGTACAATAAAAATAAATATAATAACTATGTTTATCAGAACTGTATGTATTTTAAATTTTGGTTTTTATTATTTACTGATTTGGACCTATATCACAATAAAATTTGTTCATTCTTTGCGCTGCGACTCTCCACAAAGTTTTATGAAATTTAGCTTTTTACTTTTGCACAATATTTGCTTTATGTGGTAAAGTATGGAACAAAGACATCTTGGTTTGYAGGTTTTCATGTTTGGCAGGAAGGTTTGGATTTACATCCATCTCTTTTTAGTCTTTTTGGCTATGAAACATTTCCTGATAAAAGCCTAATTTACCAATGCTAAAACATAAGCCTCTTTTAAGTTGATCTGYTGCTAGTGATGGGATTTATAATCCCAAAAATCACTTTCCTTCTGGGAAAGTTTTCATTTAAACCTGCCAAAGACTTTCTGAGCAAACCTTGTAACATTCATAAAACATTCCAGTCACATAAGCTGCTCAGTGTTGATAAAAAAGAACTATTAAAGGTAAGTTCCTCTTCTCCCTCTACACATATTTATTTTATTTTTTGGACAAAATCATGCCAGCTTTTAGTGCACAATGCATTGTAAAACCACTATGTTTGAATTGCCCGCAGTTCTTCAAACAAAGACTTAAAAATAGCTATAAACRGCAGCTGATAAATGCTTCCTTCTCTGAAACGAAAGGTTTTTTTTCCACTCTTGAGTCTCACTCTTTAAAGCCTGCTGAGAAATTGCAGTATTCACCAACACAGGTGTTTTTTGCCATTTTTGTGTCGAGTTACTCTTACTAACTGATGGTGCTCATTACCAGCAACACACTTAAGAGGTTGACTCATAACTCAAATTTTTGCTATTATGTGTTTAAAGAGGTTATGTGTGTGTTTTGGCTCCATCAGTGTTTARATGTATGGGTTTTGTGTCACATTTTGGTCCAAAAAGTGCATCAAATATTAAATCCTGTCAAAGTTATTGTACATTTAATATTACACTATATTTCACTGTCAAACCACTGGCCATAACCTCCGTATAAGTGGCACTTTTCCAAATAACATAAAAGAGAAAATTTAGACTCCAGCCTTCATCTAGATCTAAAAGCTTGGTCTGATTTACCATTTTCTCCTTCACAGGGTACCCCAGCAGGGATCGTTCACTACAAGGTGGACCAGGAGGCATATCCATACTCTGCCAGTATATTTGAAGTTGATGAGAAGATGGGGCATGTGGTTACCAGAGTAAACCTGAATGAGAAACCTAACCTAAAGTTCAGTGTAAGTATGCACCCAGAAGGCACTCATATATAAGAAGAAAGGCTTTCCGAACTTTACAAGGACTAAAGAAAAGGGGATATTGATGTGCTATGGGTTGAGTTACTTGAAACGCTTGTAGTTTTTGTTGTTGACAKCTCGGATAATTGATAGCGACATATAGTGGCAGAAATTGCAATTATAATTGACAAAAACTAATTTGGTCTTCCTAAATAAAATATTTGTTTGTACATGTTTTTGTGTCACACAATTGTGCACAAATTATGTATTTTTTGTACGTACATCAGCCTAGAAGTTACTAGGAACCACATGCTCCTGAAGGTGCCAATGGGTTCAATTACTTTGGAGTTGGAGCGTTGCATGCATTTATTTTATTTTTTATTTATTTATTTTTTGTTTGTTCTGCTCCAGTTTGAAATCCTTTAGAGAAAAAGTCAAAKTTAATCTTGTTTATGATAGACAGGGAAAGTTGTGTTGATTAACCTCGTGCACAAATATTAATTCACTTCTCTGTGAGGTCTTCAGTGCATTAGATTTAATCATGCAGCTGAGAGTCTTTTAATAAACTGTGGAGCATCAGAAAATGTAATTTCTAATCAATCATATTGATCTGTTTTACTGTAAACCTTGGCTCTGAAGCTGCTCTTATGTTCAGACAGTATTATGGCAGGAGATTTATCTGACGTGTCATGACTTTGCTTTGCTTCTGGATTTTTTACTTTGTGCGTCCATCAGATAAACTGGGTCATTAAACATCAATTTGACAATCACGTTCTGATTTTACCTGCTTCGCTGCAGCTTTTGTGTCCATAAAGGTGTCTTCAAGCTCATCTAAATCTCTGTTCAGGGTGCAAAAAAATACTGCAGTTGTTTATTAGTTCCAAAAACAGGCTGTCCTCAGGTGCGTTCTTCAATGAGCCTTTGCGCCGTGCTAATTTCATCTTTTGATTGGGCTTTAATTAACACAACAAGGACTTCAGTCTCCTGTGGAGATGTTGCTCAGGGGACTAATCTTAACTGGTTTGCTCCAAATAAGTCAAACAAAATGTCCCCTACTGTGAGCAAATTTTGGATCATGCCTGAGACAAACAATAAATGCAGAGTAACACATGCACTTCATTAAATTGCTTGCCTTAAATTCTACAACTAGAGGTAGATGAACTGATCATTTGGCTGATTAAGTGGGACATTTTAACTAGTTTTTAAACAATTGGTATTGGTCACACTCGAGCATACTAATCCAATTTAAATAGGCACGTCTTTGGGGAACATGTTGTAAAATTATATTTAACTGTTTTTTTAATGATTTCTTGCAATGAAAAGTGGAAAAGCACTTTGATCACATCTAAAAGAAGTTGACCCAAATATTATGATTTAAAAAAAAAAAGCATCATGTTTTTGAGAAATTTTAAAACCCTAATGTTTATATTTCGGAGCCTCTTGTGTTTAATTGATTGGATACAAAATGATACAGTTACAGAGACAATAAAAGAAATGCATAGTAAGAGTTTAGTAAACTTTAGCCCAAAAACAAATCTGTGAATTTAGATAAAGATTTAGGGCT